GCTGCTTTCGCTGGCGAGCCGGTTTCGAGTGGCGCACCTGGAGGCGAAGCCGACCGGGCTTCGCGCAGAACAGCGTGCGCGCGAGCTTCGCCACTGGCTGGCAAGCACTCAGCACGTGGTGAGGAGCGGGACGTGGTCGTCTTGGTTCCAGCGGGCGTTCGTCTTGCAGCTGGAGGATGCAGTTCTTCATTTTCGGCGCGCCGGGATCACCCCGCCGGCAGTGGAAAGCGAGTTGGCCGGCGGCGAGCAGCGGCCTTTCCGGCAGAGCACTGCGCGCCGAGTCCGCCAACGCTTCCAGGGCGCCGCGCTGGCTGCTCTGGCCGTGCCTCCGAAGAGTTGGATTGAGACGAGGACCCGCCGCGAACTGGAGTATTGGGGCGTCCCGCAGTTCCCGCGCATCCGTGCGCAGCGCTGCATGCACGTACTCGGCCGCCTGTCAGCGCTGGTTCCGCCCAGAGTGCTCTCGGCCTTGTGGCGAACTCAATGGAACGGATGGGTCACTTTCCGCCGTTTCCAAGGGCGCGGAGGCCACGCCGACCGATGCGCTTTCTGTGGCCCCAGCGCCCACGATGCGATCCAGCATTATGCGTCGTGACCCCATGTGTGGAGATTCGCGCAGACGCGATTGGGGCTGCCGCGCCCAGCGTCCCGCCGGGAGTGCCTGGCTTGCTTTCTCTTGCTGGACATGGGCCCGAACAGCGTGATCGCCGACCCGTCGCTGCTGGCGCGCAAGGCACTCCGGACTGCAGCTGTGTACAAAGTGCATTGCATGGTGCGCCACGGCGCAATCCCTGCAGGCGCGGCGGCGCAGGAGGCGCTGCAGCAGGCAGTCCGGGAACTGGTGCGGGGACATGCTGCTGCCAACCGGGCGCTTGGGCAGTGGTGCTGATGCTGGCTATCTCTAGCCTTGCTTCGTCAATGTGGGGGCCCCGCTATGCACTCCGTGCCGTCGCAGATCGACTTCGGGTCCCAGAGCGAACGGCACCCCCACTCCCCAGCTCCATGTTTTTCCTCTCCCGTGGCCGCCCCCGCTCGACGAGCACGACCGGTGCCAGCAGCACCGCTACGCCCAGCACATCGGCGAACAGTACGACCGGGAGCAGCACCACGTGAGGGACGAGCACGACCGGTACCTGCAGCATCACGTCGCCCAGCACGTCGGCGAGCAGTGCGACCGAGAGCAGCACCACGAGTGTGACGTGCACGATCGGTACCAGCAGCACCACTACGCCCAGCACATCGGCGAACAGTACGACCGGGAACAGCACCACGAGAGGGACGAGCACGACCAGTACCAGCAGCATCACGTCGCCCAGCCCGTCGGCGAGCAGTGCGACCGAGAGCAGCACCACGAGTGTGACGAGCACGTCCGGTACCAGCAGCACCACTACGCCCAGCACATCGGCGAACAGTACGACTGAGAGCAGCACCACGAGTGGGACGAGCACGACCGGTACCAGCAGCATCACGTCTCCCAGCACGTCGGCGAGTAGTGCGACCGAGAGCAGCACCACGAGTGTGACGTGCACGACCGGTACCAGCAGCACTACTACGCCCAGCACATCGGCGAACAGTACGACCGAGAGCAGCACCACGAGAGGGACGAGTACGACCAGTACCAGCAGCATCACGTCGCTCAGCACGTCGGCGAGCAGTGCGACCGAGAGCAGCACCACGAGTATGACGTGCACGACCGGTACCAGCAGCACCACTACGCCCAGCACATCGGCGAAGTGTACGACCGAGAGCAGCTCCACGAGAGGGACGAGCACGACCGGCACCAGCAGCATCACGTCGCCCAGCACGTCGGCGCGCAGTGCGACCGAGGTCCGCACCACGAGTGTGACGAGCACGACCGGTACCAGCAGCACCACTACGCCCAGCACATCGGCGAACAGTGCGACCGAGAGCAGCACCACGAGAGGGACGAGCACGACCGGTACCAGCAGCATCACGTCGCCCAGCACGTCGGCGAGCAGTGCGACCGACAGCAGCACCAGCACCACTTGTGTGACGAGCACGATCGGTACCAGCAGCACCACTACGCCCGGCACATCGGCGAACAGTACGACCGAGAGCAGCACCACGGGAGGGACGAGCACGGCCGGTACCTGCACCACCACGTCGCCCAGCACGTCGGCGAGCAGTGCGACCGAGAGCAGCACCACGAGTGTGACGAGCACGACCGGTACCAGCAGCACCACCACGTCCAGCACATCTGCGAACAATACGACCGAGAGCAGCACCACGAGTGGGACGAGTGCGACTGGTACCAGCTGCATCTCGACGTCCAGCACGTCGGCGAGCAGTGAGACCGAGAGCAGCACCACGAGTGTGACGAGCACGTCCGGTACCAGCAGCACCACTACGCCCAGCACATCGGCGAACAGTGCGGCCGAGAGCAGCACCACGAGTTGGACGAGCACGACCGGTACCAGCAGCATCACGTCGCCCAGCACGTCGGCGAGCAGTGCGACCGAGAGCAGCACCACGAGTGAGACGTGCACGACAGGTACCAGCAGCACCACTACGCCCAGCACATCGGCGAACAGTACGACCGAGAGCAGCACCACGAGAGGGACGGGCACGACCGGTACCAGCAGCATCACGTCGCCCAGCACGTCGGCGAGCAGTGCGACCGAGAGCAGCACCACGAGTGTGACGAGCACGATCGGTACCAGCAGCACCACCACGCCCAGCACATCGGCGAACAGTACGACCGAGAGCAGCACCACGAGAGGGACGAGCACGACCGGTACCAGCAGCATCGCGTCGCCCAGCACGTCGGCGAGCAGTGCGACCGAGATCAGCACCACGAGTTTGACGAGCACGACCGGTACCAGCAGCACCACTACCTCCAGCACATCGGCGAACAGTGCGGCCGAGAGCAGCACCACGAGTGGGACGAGCAGCACGACCGGTACCAGCAGCATCACGTCTCCCAGCACGTCGGCGAGCAATGCGACCGAGAGCAGCAGAACGAGTGTGACGAGCACGACCGGTACCAGCAGCACCATTGCGCCCAGCACATCGGCGAGCAGTACGGCCGAGAGCAGCACCACGAGAGGGACGAGCACGACCGGTACCAGCAGCATCCCGTCGCCCAGCACGTCGGCGAGCAGGGCGACCGAGAGCGGCACCACGGGTGTGACAAGCACGACCGGTACCAGCAGCGCCACTACGCCCAGCACATCGGCGAACAGTACGACCGAGAGCAGCGCCACGAGAGGGACGAGCACGACCGGTACCAGCAGCATCACGTCGCCCAGCACGTCGGCGAGCAGTGCGACCGAGAGCAGCAGAACGAGTGTGACGAGCACGACCGGTACCAGCAGCACCACTACGCCCAGCACGGCGGCGAGCAGTACGAGCGAGAGCAGCACCACGCGAGGGAGGAGCACGACCGGTACCAGCAGCTCCACGTCGCCCAGCACGTCGGCGAGCAGAGCGACCGAGAGCAGCGCCACGAGTGTGACGAGCACGACCAGTACCAGCAGCACCACTACGCACAGCACATCGGCGAACAGTACGACCGAGAGCATCACCACGAGAGGGACGAGCACGACCGGTACCAGCAGCATCACGTCTCCCAGCACGTCGGCGAGCAGTGCGACCGAGAGCAGCACCACGAGTGTGACGAGCACGACCGGCTCCAGCAGCACCACCACGCCCAGCACATCGGCGAACAGTACGACCGAGAGCAGCACCACGAGTGGGACGAGCACGACCGGTACCAGCAGCAACACGTCGCCCAGCACGCCGGCGAGCAGTGCGACCGAGGGCCGCACCACGAGTGTGACGAGCACGACCGGTACCAGCAGCACCACTACGCCCAGCACATCGGCGAACAGTGCGACCGAGAGCAGCACCACGAGAGGGACGAGCACGACCAGTACCAGCGGCATCACGTTGCCCAGCACGTCGGCGAGCAGTGCGACCGAGAGCAGCACCACGAGTGTGACGAGCACGACCGGTACCAGTAGCACCACTACGCCCAGCACGGCGGCGAGCAGTACCAGCGAGAGCAGCACCACGCGAGGGAGGAGCACGACCGGTACCAGCGGCATCACGGCGCCCAGCACGTCGGCGAGCAGTGCGACCGAGAGCAGCACCACGAGTGTGACGAGCACGACCTGTACCAGCAGCACCACTGCGCCCAGCACGGCGGCGAGCAGTACGACCGAGAGCAGCACGAGCACGACCGGTACCAGCAGCATCACGTCGCCCAGCACGTCGGCGAGCAGTGCGACCGAGAGCAGCAGAACGAGTGTGACGAGCACGACCGGTACCAGCAGCACCACTACGCCCAGCACATCGGCGAACAGTACGACCGAGAGCAGCACCACGAGAGGGACGAGCACGACCGGTACCAGCAGCATCACGTCTCCCAGCACGTCGGCGAGCAGTGCGACCGAGAGCAGCAGAACGAGTGTGACGAGCACGACCGGTACCAGCAGCACCACTGCGCCCAGCGCGTCGGCGAGCAGTACGACCGAGAGCAGCACCACGAGAGGACCAGCAGCATCACGTCGCCCAGCACGTCGGCGAGCAGTGCGACCGAGAGCAGCAGAACGAGTGTGACGAGCACGATCGGTACCAGCAGCACCACTACGCCCAGCGCGGCGGCGAGCAGTACGAGCGAGAGCAGCACCACGCGAGGGAGGAGCACGACCGGTACCAGCGGCATCACGGCGCCCAGCACGTCGGCGAGCAGTGCGACCGAGAGCAGCACCACGAGGGTGACGAGCACGACCGGCACCAGCAGCACCACTACGCCCAGCACGGCGGCGAGCAGTACGATCCTGCAGCCCCTGCAGCCTCAGGAGCCCACCCCAGCACCCGCAGCCGCAGTCGCCTGCGCAGCCTGAGGACGGCAGGGACTCTCAATAGCGTCTTCCGGGGCTGGGTTTCGGCTTCTGGGTGTTGTTTAAATTTGCTTTTGGGCTTCTCCTTTTCGTCTCCTGGGTCCGTTTATGTTCGCCTCCAGGTTCTGCCCTCAGGACTTGGGTTAGACGTGCACAAAGGCTTGCACGACTGGGGTGACCAGCAGCACGACGTCGAGCAGCTTGCCGACGAGCCTGGTTGGTGAGCTGGGCGCCCTCGCATCGGCCACGCGGCCGGGACAAGCATACAAGGTAGTAGCAGGAGTTTCAGCGGCTGGGGAGGCCCCGAACGCTCGGCTCGAGCGTGCAGTCGCCCTCCTCCCCTCCCTCCTCCCTCCTTCTGCTGTGCCTTCCGCTCCCTCTCTCCCCGCCTCTGTTTCAAGCCCGTGGCTATGCCAGGTGCCTCGGCACGCCTC